ACGCATGTACACGGGGTGGAGGAGGGTGCAGTGCAGCCCATGGATTGATGGGTGGTTTCCTTTTGCTTTGGCCTCCTCTATTTCTTGCTGCTTGCTTTGTTCCCCTAATTTTCCTTTTTCCGGGGTCAGGAAGTCAGAGCAGTAACCGAATGCGTCTTGGAATGACAGCAATGCATGCACAATACAGGTCATTCTCGAACATGATACTCGAGAATCTGGCCATGTGGCGTGCCTCGCTGGACGGACTGATTGGTAGCGACCTGCAAACCACCGGATTAGGGTAGGCAGCGGTGTCGGGCTGGCCTATTGTTCCAGTGGGGTGGGTGCAACTGGTATTTGCTGTAGGTATGGCGAGATTTTGACGGGTGGGAATGGTACGTGAGTAATACATGGTAATCTGGGAACATAATTAAAACGGTCCTGGTAAATCTCTACCAAGCTAAGCAAACCATGGTCCCGGGACGGGCTGTGTGCTGGTTGGAATGCGTTTGCTGTCATACTTTGGACGCTGTGCCATCGAACAGTCTGCCTGGCCACGCCCGATAGGAAGGGCGAGGAGGGGTGGGCTGCACCGCGCAGGTTGACGTTGGCATGTACTTATTGCATGGAAGCGAAGGGGAGGGGCGGATTGCAGCGAATAGACGGCCGGTCTGTTGTGTCGATGGCGCGGCATGTAGCCACCCAACTGCAACATTGGGACCAGAGGGACGGGTCTTATTACGACCGACTCAGTGGATGGCTGTGTGCAAAGACAGAAGGTAGGGGACACGGGTGGGCGAGCCGGTTGGCTGTCATTTGGCGTTGAGAGCCTGTCCCCCCAGCGGAGGATTAAGATGCCGTTCGGCTGAAACGCAGAGGGGGCGCAATCTGGACTTGCATTGCTCAATCATACCCAAGGTCGTGGTGTTGGGACTCGGAGTAATCGAGGGTGGGTGCGTGGGCATGGCGAGATGTGATAGGCGTCCGTTGTATAGGACTAATGCACGTTGGCTGTTGGCTTTTGTTTGCGCATGCATCCATCTGCGAGTTGGACAAAGCAACTCGCCCAGGGATCCCGACGCTATCGTTCGGCACACCAGATTGAAGCTCCCGGGCCTACCTGTAGTACCAACCCAGCACCCTGGCGGATCCGTGCAGCCCTCGCTGCAGGGCGGAATGCGCTGTAGGGACACCCGTCGCTGTAAATAGCAGGCACCTGTGCACTACATGCCCTGCTACCCGAGGAAGCTCCAGTGGAAGGGAAGGGGGCCGCTCCATCTGCCCCCTTTCCCAATGGAGCTTTATTTCTCGAATGGTCTCAAGCGATGAGGGCACGACGACGACGATCGAGTCCGCTGCCAACTGCCAGGCTGCGACGCTGTGGGCCTGGGCAATCCCAAGTTGGCTGGACAAGACCACAAGCTTCGGCGGCTGGAATGTCGTGAGCAGTAAGGATGCGCTTGCGCTTGCGCATGTGATGGATCGGCGAGTCAGGTCTGTAACCTTGACCCGGGTGAGGGGATGGGCGCGCTGGTGAGACTCGAGGGCCGCAAAGCGTTAGAGCCCTTGATTAATCAATTGATCAGTGAATGAGCGATGACGCCTCGAATCGACAGGTCTGTTTTATGCTTACAGTAGCCCGTCGAGTGGCTGCAAAGTGTGAGCTACGAGAAGGGCTGTTGGCCCACCCACCACTCGTCGGATGTTTTAGCGCAGCCACTGGGCGCAATCATTGGATGCGCCTGGCCGGGCTAGCGGACGGGCAAGAAGCAACAAAAGAAAAACTACCGCCACGGTAATCGCGACCCCAGGCACTCAACCTACCAACCAAGGCTTACTGCCGCATGCCAAGCAAAGCCAGTGGCCACCACCATCCAAGACAAGCAGCTATTGCGGGCGCAACTCTCGGTAGAAACACATTGTGCAGATATCCAGCCGGCCAGACGGTTCCCAAACAGGAGCAGCCGGCAGTCAGCGCTCTTCTTTTGAGAGCGTAATTCAGTCACCACGAATTTGAGTCAGGGGTTCGGTGCGAATCCGTCCTGGCGAGCAACGTTGTATCCAATGTGAAGCGTCGCTAAGAACGGGAGAGGGCAAGGTTGAGCGCGGCAGGCGTTGAGGGGCCGGGGATGGAAGCAATTCCGCGCAGGCTGGACTCGAAGCTTGACTAGGTCTAACTAGGCAGCGGCTGAGCGAGTGAGTCAGGTAGTGGCCACGAGAATTGTTCTCTCGACACGGAAGTGGTGCGTGCGAGAAGAAAGGATCGATCTAGTAGACCCAGAGCTAAATTAACGGGAGCGAAAATCTCGAAATGGGGCCGAGGAAGAGAGCTGCCGGGGGAAATTCTCCAGTTTTTCCCAGCCAGGGACGCCTTCTTCCTGGCAATTCTGAGAATTGGAATTCCCAGACCGGTAGCTTGGCCGTGTTGGTGCCCTGGGTCCCTAGCTTGAGAATTCCCCAGGTCGGCTATCCGCGCGGCCATTTCTGGAGGCGGCGACCGTGGGTTCCAGACGAGTATCGTCGCTGATTACTGGTTCTTGGGTGTATTGACACATGGGCTTACATGCGAGACCACATGCATACACAAGGGACCAATCTAACAATGCAGAGATGGGAGCATGCACCTGTTGGCCGGCTCTCCCCAAAAAAAGCAAGGATAAATAAAGACGCTGCCCAAAGCTGCGGCCTGAGACAGATGCAACGTACGGGGGGAGGAAGAAGGACCCTGCTGCCGGCACAGCTTGCTCCATGCTGCTGTCAGTGCTCAATTTGACGTTCGATGAACCACCGTTGGCAGGGTAGGATTCCAAGGTTCTACATGTCGAACATCGAGACGAACCAGACATCAGGCTACAGAGCGTACCGCTGGGTATGGATACCCTCGCCTTTCCGATCGGCTTTCCACGACGGAAAGGCCCACTGATTTCTAGGCTTGAGCGCAAGGGGGACGATTGCCAGCTTTAGCTTGGTGGTTTGTCTTTAGCGGGAGGTGCGAACTTTTGTTGCTTCTGGACTCTGGTGTGAGGATGCGCTGATTTGATTCGCAAGAGTGCTGGCCCCATCTGTCTTGCCCGTCCGCTGCATCTCCGGCCGTGCCAGCAGATTGTGCATTATGCACATGCATCGGAAGCTCGATGCTTTCTTTTGCTGAGTGTGCATGTCGTGGGACCATTCACACATCCGTGCATCCAAGAGGAACCGCTGGCCATCCAGAGTTGCGTTGCCCTTTCAGAGGACGAGTATTAGAATAGAGCTGCGCTTCCGCCCGCAACAGGTGAGCATGACCCGGCTGGCACGCAAGGTTTTTTTTCCTGTATCGCCGGTAGATCCTTGATTGGCCGCTCACCAATGTCCGATGCTGCATGCCGGCTTGTCAGGAAGCAAGCTACTGATACAGGGGCCCTGCCCGTTGAGAGATCGTTAATGGCCAGACACTCAACTTTCTTGGAGATGGTGGGTGGCTAGCTGGGATGCCCATGTCGGCACTACTGCAAACCGCTGCACCTTGGCCACCAAACTGAGTGTGCCAGCCAGGGAGTCTTCCCATGTCTGCTCCGAATTGCCTACCCAGGAAAAGCATGTCATAATCACGGGGAAGGGGACTCGGGGCCGCTTGGCGCTCGCGACAGGTATTCCACGGGGCAGGTTACATTCTGGCAGCGAGTTGCGGCAGGCTCTGTTTAAAGGTTTGGCAGGCAGGGAGCGAGCTATCTTAAGAGGCCCCCCTCAACCCGTTGGAATGCACCGGCGAGGGCTAGGCAAGCTTCAGTGGGCGCGCCACTGTGTCGAACCGCCTGTTGGTCGAAGCAAGATCCAAGTCCCGGCATCTCGCCAATGAACGGCGTTGCCCTGAGGCTGACGTTACATTCATGCTGATGCGCTACCTTTCCCGTGGGACTGCTCCCTCCTCCACGGGTGACCAACAGCAAACGCCTTGGGGGCGCCTTGGAGATGGCCAAGCCAGGTGCCTCGAATTGCCTTGCAGCGCCTGGCAGTGGGATGAGTGCCCCCGACCGGATGGTGTGTGTATTACGGGTGCTGTCCTTGTAGGTGCTTGTACGCGTATGGCAGCAGAGTAAATGAGACGAGCGTTAGCACTAGTCCCGATGGACGAGTCAGGCGCACAGAGCCACAAGGCCTGCCAGGGGTCACCACAGCACACTGGAGCACACGCTGGATTCCATTTGGTCCCCGAGAGACCGGGTACGGCCCAGTGGTGCGTGCTTCCCCAAAGGGCATGGCCGACCCCGTCACCTGGGCTCACTTACCTCAGCCATCCAATTCTCGTCGCCGTGGGTGTGGGCGGTTTGCAGGCCCCCCTCGCAACCCTCCGCCCCTAGAGCAAATGGTAGCGTGTTCATTCCCGGGGGTCCCCTGCCACGGTCCGCTCGCGGCCCAGTCAGCGACGGTGCAGCCCAGCCCAGTGGTCCCTCGCCCCTCCCAAAAGCCTCCAGTCCCCAGTCCCCAGTCACCGGATCCCTGTAATGGGCTGCCCACCCTGTTACTCTGCCCACCCTATCATCTCCTCTCCCCCAAGCATCTGGGCTGGCCTCCGTCTGTCTGGTCCTTTTCTGCCGTCTGGTGCTGGAGACGCTTCGTTCATCCTCCTGAATCGAACCAGTGTCGTCCACCACGGGCAAGTTTCGTTGTTAGCCTCTTTCTTTTCTCTGGTCTCATTCAACAAGCTGCCTGCATTCTGCCTTTCCCTCACTGGGTAGAGGGCTCTACAAGGCTGGGTTTTCCGTTTTCTCTTCTTCATTAGTCTCATAACGGAGCCGCCAGCACCTGAAGCGAGCATTACTGTGAGTCTTGACGACAATTCCATTCTTGATATTTACCAACGCGCTCAACTCCCGTCATCGCCACCTCGGCCATCATTGCACTCTTATCAAGGCTCTTCACCGACACCTGCTTATACGCAATCGCTGCCATCTGAGTGTCAAGCTGATCAATGTAGGACAGACTGCCATTCTCTCCCCAATTCGCTCCAGACTCGCGTCGACAGCGCGATATCAGCCATAATGGCTACACCTTCAGCAATCCCGTCCGACCCTCGCCGGGACTCAGTTGTGCGAATCAACCGCACGACCCGCGGAGGCCGCCATCTTTGGTATCAGCTATCGGTTCTGCAACAACCCGAACGTGCTCGAGCATGCGGTGCTGGTAACAAGGGTAAGATGCGACAAGTTCCGCTTCATAATTACCAAGTGGAAAAGTAGCTGACAGTATTGAACAACAAATAGCCAACAGTGACAGGCGCCCTGTTGACCCTCCGCCCGTTGTTGAACTGAGGATTCGCCATGGTGACTCCTGGGAACGGGGCAAGGACATTACATTTGACTACAATGCCAGTTTCTTCCTATACGCCAGTCTGGAGCAATATAGAAAGATATCTTCGGGGCGCATGGGAACGCAGCAACCTCCCATTTTGACCGGCGTGCCAGCTTCTGGTATGGCCTACCTCGATCGCCCAACCGCCGCCGGTTACTTCATCTTCCCCGATCTTTCCGTCCGTCACGAAGGCCAGTATCGCCTCTCTTTCAGCCTTTTCGAGACGACCAAGGAGGAGATCGATTTTGATATGGATCCTACCAACGGCGACCTGCCCCCCGGAGTTGATTGGCGCATGGAAATCAAGACAAACCCTTTCGACGTGTTTAGTGCAAAGAAGTTCCCCGGCCTGATGGAGAGCACGGCTTTGAGCAAGGAAGTCGCCGATCAAGGATGCCGCGTGCGAATCCGCCGCGACGTGAGGATGAGGAAGCGTGAAACGAAGCCAAGGGACCATGATCGTCGGGACGATGACTACTCCCGGCGAAGGAACCCTACACCCGCCAACGAGGATCCTCACAGCGCGCGGGCCCGTTCGATGAGCAATTCGAGTGACCAGCAACACGGTCCATATGGTCCCGATCGACCTCGAAGACCGTCGGCAATTGATGCCGCCTATCCCCAACCTATCCAGCCAGCGTATGAAGCACCGCCTAATCGCCATCTCTCCTTCGGTGGTGACAGCGGCGCCCCTCAGTATGCTGTGCCTCCTCGTGGATATTCTCACCATCAACCACCGCCGTTGGCGCCGATATCTCCAAGCGGACCTTACACACCCAGCTCTCAATATGCAAAGCCAGATTCCCAGCCTCCAAGCCGAAATGGACCACCAACTTGTCAATCTCCTGGAGTTGGACACGGCAGCCATGATCGCCGACTCTCTGGCAACTACATTCCACCATCCCCGTCGGTATACTCATCGGAAGGTCATGTTCGCCATGACTCTCAACACTCCTCATATCCTCCTACGCCTGTCTCCCGCCATCCACCCAGCGCTATGTTTGGTCCACAATCTCATCCTCAAGCTCCTCAGACCCAACCAGCTGCACGGCCATCCTCAGGTTCCATCAAGATTGCGCATTTATTATCGGGTGAGGCTTCATCCTCATCTGAACCTCCTATCCAACCGCGACGGGTTGAGTCAGTTCCACAACTGCGCCACATTGAGCCAGCTCCTCAAACACGCCACCATGCAACCGCTCCTATTAAGCCTGTTTTCCAGCCGCGGCGTGAGCCTGGTCTGCGCCCACTCTTGCCCTCATTGGCACCAGGCGAGACGATGCCGCCACTTCGAAGTGATTCTGCTTTGCCTCCAATTGCGCCAGACCACAACCACTACACACGTTCATCTCTGATAGGTGAGAAACGGAAACGTGACGAAGTCTTTAATGAAAGCGCTCAACCGCTACACAATAGAGAGCGACCAAGTGATCATCGCGGCTTGCATGATGACCTGCCAAAGGACACACGTGAACAAGGATTTTACTGGAGGGCTGATGGCAGTGTGGGCGAGGCGAGATTCAAGCCATATGCGCTGGAACCTGCTTGGCGTCCATAATCGGCTTTTTCCTTTGATCTTCCACCAGCCTGGATCCCTAAATCTTGTCTTGGATATACTCGTTCGACACAGTTATACCACTGCTTTGGAGAACATTTTGCTGCACCCTGTGAAGAGGATCTTATTATACCTCTTCTTCCTCAAACTGGCTTCATTTAAATCACTCATCCAGCTCTCTGCCCTGACGACTTGTCCTTTACTTTTACGCCTGCTTGCACTGTGGTCTCGTGCTTCCAAGCTGCTGTATATTTTAATTCGGCACTTTACAAAAATGGCCAGATGGCTATTTCGCTCACATTTTCTTGACCTTCAAGCCAATTCACTCCTTACTTTCATGTCACAATATCTTTTCATTACATTAGAATATCACATCTGCGTTGTCCGAAGTCAAGCATGTCATTTGTCCACAATTTAGGCAGATGTCGGTTTACTCTTCCTTGTGCCCAGTTCCTTGTGTTGGGGATTGGGTATCAGCGTTTTTTCACTGACGAACTTATGGCTCAGTATGTTGACGAAGCACCTGCGCTTGGATTTGTCATTCATTTTCTTGAAAGCGGAACCGGCCTCTTCCACTCTCCATAGGGAACTGATTAGCATCATTGTTATTTCCATTTGTATCGTTTTCTTCGGGTTGTTCTACTTGTTATACTGGGATTATTTTATCGGAATGGGAGACGTGTTTTGATTACTGAAGGAGTTAATGAATGAACAACTTTTGACTTAGTTAAAAACACTGCGCCTCGAAGATTTAAAGTGTTATGGTTCAATTGAATAAAATTCCAATATCGTTTAGCTTCCCTTGCGTACAGCTTACCATGTGCGGTATAATCTAGGTGTCAGATCGCAAATTTCCGGCCAGTATTAGACACGCAGACAAGGACATGTTTCAAAAGCCCGGTTCTGATACCTAATGCAGGGAGTTTGCATTTCTGTTCCTGGTGCGGTTGCCTCTGGTTGTGGTTGGGGGCCACTCACTCTGTCGTTGCTGTGGCGACTGACGCTCACGTGACGCCCCAACTTCCTGAAAGTCAACAAGAAACCGTCCTTCTCAACTGGCTGGAACTCCTTGCTTCAGGCCAAAAAAAAGGGAACACATTTCGATTCAATTCATGCCCATCGCATTGCCATTCAGAGTTCACTTGGCTTCTTTGCTTAGCATTCTGCAATTTCCCCTTCTCGGCTGGAGATAAAACAGTTCACGTACGCCTCACATGACGGCACGCTTGCCATCGCCGCCACCGCTTATACAACACAGACTGTAGCTTGACAAAGAACATCTAGCTCCGAGAAAAAAAAAAGCCATGCCGCACAAAGCAAAGATCCCCCGGCCGCCGAGTCGGAGTCGTTTCCAGGAGGGCTCCATGAACGACCGCACGTCTGCCACCCCGCCCGTCCACTTCATCGGTCCGGACGAGCGAGCCATGCTGGAGAAGCCGCTGCCTGCGCTCCCGTTCTCCATGGCACAGGGGAAGCCCAGGCCGGTGAGCTACGACCCCGTGATCCCGCTTGCGGCAGTACCTTCCCCCGCCCGAACGCCAGTCCTCACGAAACGGGGTAGCAAACAGTTCCTGGGGCAGATGTGGGATGGTGTGATGGGCAAGCTCAGGATGAGGAAGGAGGCCCCGGTAGAGGACGAGACGAAGAGGAGGAAGTCGGAGGAGAAGAAGACGACCCGGAAGAGCAAGGAGGAAGACAGGCCGTCGAGGGAGGAGATCTTCGAGAGCTACAACAACCTCGTGGCGTCGGGCTTCTTCGCCGCTCATGCCATCCAGTCCACCCGCCAGCCCGGCCCTGGAGGGCGCCGGCCGTCGACTGCCGACCAGACCTCCTGGCAGCCGTCGTCCGGGAGGTGGCAGCATCAGCTGCGTCACCAGCAGTCTCAGGATCCGCAACGACCAAAGTGGCCACTGTCCCCTCTTCCCGCAACGCCTCCCAGAATCTGCCCTTCATCACCCGGCCAGACCCCAGCCAGTGCTGACTCGCGCGGCACAAAGCGGGCTGCGGATGAGGAGCCGGAGGAGGATCCCATTCAGAATATCCAGAGGGTGAGGAAGCTGCGCAAGTCTGCCTCTGCCACCCGGGAGCTCGCGGTGCCTAAGCTGCGCTCGTCCTCCCGCACGATCCTCTCCAGTCGCAGCTTCTCCAACGCCAGGGCCGCTGCCATGGCACAAGCCGAGTCTGTGAAATCGTCCAAGCGAGCGGTTCTCTCTAAAATCCCAGGCCTGCAGCAGCAGCAGCAGCAACAACAGCACTCTGTGCCCATCCCATCCCGGGATTCGTCTGCCAGACGGAATGCTAGTGAGACGTACGGCAAGACGTTATCCCACAAGACCAGCTCGCGGGTTCTCCGCCCTAGAAGGAGCGCCGCCGAGCCTCTGCGCGTGCGGCCGAACACGAATCGAGGCGTGCCCAAGGTGCCCGACATCCCCTCCAAGTTCACCTACGGCCAGGATCGCGAGAATGACGGTCCCTGGAGGGGACTTCGCCGGCTCCCGCCGCCCAGGAATGAATAATTGATTTGATGACGATGCTATTCGCTGACGAAAACATATCGGATCCTGCTCTCCTCACAACCTATGTTCCGTCACTAGCAACGAGCGCTACCGCTGCGTTGTCATCGACGAAGGACAGAGGAAGGGGGTCGGATCATTTTCGCTTTTATTGATTCACACGACCTTATGAAGCTTGATGCATGCATGGTGGACGAACGACACACTTGATTTTTTGTGAAACTCGCTTTCTCTACGTTTGATCTCGCGGCGTAATCACCAACGAGGTCGGCGTCTTTGACCCGACCAAAGTTTGTTCTTTTTTTTTCAACTTTATTTTTTGCTTTATACCTCTTTTCTTGGAAGGACGGATATCAGGACGGAAAGGATACGGGAACGGATGGGCATATTTCTTCTTCTTTCTTTTTCTTCTCCCCCCCTGTTTTCTAAAAGGGGCGCCCGGGTCGGTGTTAAGGTCTCCTGAGAGATGACATTTTGTTTGACTTTTTGATTTTTTGCTGGTTGCTTTTCATGATGGACGGTGTTTGGGGACCATTTCCCCCCCACCGCTGTGCGGATTTATATAACTGGGCTTTCCCAGGCATGGAAGGCTGAGAAACTATGTACGAAGCCATGGGGGGACTAGGACCCAGCATTTTGTGACATTAATCATAATGGATTAAGGGTTCAAGGATCGGATGAGGGTTCGGATAGGCGCGTTTATGACTTGAATTGATTTCATATTACTTTTACAATGGTATCCCCTGAGACCGTGTACTCGCTCGTCAGATCGGTTGATACTCTTGACATATATCATCTGAGGGACTTTGCTCATTTTCACTTGGTATGACAATGGTGTTTACGTTCGCATATTCCAAGAAAACTCTCCAGTCAAGTATATTCAATTGATATGTATAAGACAGAGATGCCTGCCTAAAAAGAAGCCTGTGCTCATTCGAATAAAAGCTACCTCGCGCGGGCGCTGTGCGCGGATTTCCCTTCCTAAAACCGTTTGACAAAAGAGCTAGAGCAAATACCTATGCCTTCCCAGAACGTTAGATGTGTAGTGTGTGTTAAATTATTAAAACCGCGATACTGCATGAAGCCGCCCGTTTCCTCGTCATCAAATTGCATACAACAAAAGGAATAAGTCGAATAATCAGCCAGTTGGAAATAACAGAGTCCCTGAAGATCTTGTTCGATCCTGTCGCCCAAGGTGAGCATGCCCAATAGACCAGGGTGTTTATGTTTCATGTCGTCGTTATCCACATTACAGACATGATATACACTTGTTAAGACACTTCTCTAAACCTCGACCACGCGTTCCGTGGGGCCAGCTTGTAATCTAGAGATTGCGGAATGTGCCCTCTTTGCAACAGAGAGACATGAGCTCGAGACAATGCTCCAAACCAGGGGGAAGAGTGCTGGGAAGTAGCTGTATATCATGGCGCAAACCATTACTAGGAGCAAGGGGATCTAATAACATTGTATTGTTAGTATTGGCTCATATAAAAGATTGAAAAGTGGATTAAGTTGAAGGTGCTTACCCAGATGAAGAAGAGATTGCGGTCGTTGCTTAATCTCTTCAGTCTTTCTTCGCGGGCCCTGAGAAGTTGCTCTTGTTGTTCCTTGGTGATGGCGTTCTTGCGGCCAATCTTCAAAACACTGGGGACCTTGGTTCTTTCTTGTGCAACTGTGGTGGTGGTGGTGGTTGATGATGATGATGATGATGCCTGATCATAGATTGTTGCACACTTCATGTCCGCTTCAGCTTCCACAGCGGCCTGAAGGGCAGAAGCTTGTTTTACATCAAGATCCTTCTCTGGGAAGATCTCCTCATAAGATGGAGGAGGAAGGTTGTTGGTGTTTCTGTATGATGACAAATCCCACCAGCGATGATCGACCTTGTTGCCAGTGCCATCCTCTGATTCTGGACGGCCGCCTGACATGCCAGGCATATACTGGGTCATCCGTCGCATGAAAGGAGCGGGTTGCAGATAGGCTTGGTAGTCGGGGAGCATGGGCATGCCTGGCAGAGCAGGCATTTGTGGAATCTGAGGGAATTGGGGCAGGTTTTGCAAGTGCAGAGCCATGGTCTGTTGGAATTGTTGTAATTGTTGCTGAACTTGTTCCTTGAGCGCTGCTCCCAGTGCATTTGCTTGAGAGGCAGGATCCTGGTTTGCTTCTACTTGTTCACCAAGGACCTGAGACCGATCAACATCCTGCTTCAGAGCGCTTGGGCGACGCATTGTCAAGTATGTGTCTTCATCAGGATCCTCATCCTCGAAATCACCAGAAGTATACTCGGGGCTTTCTTCACCAGAGTCCAGAGGAAGAGGTTCCTCGTGTGTCTTGACACGACTGAGGGGTTCCCATAGCGAGTGTAATGAGCCCGCACTGCTGGTTCTGCTTCGGATAGAGCCTCCGCTGAGAGAGCGAGTATGGCGCTGCGAAAGACGGATCGCGCGTGAGACACCGGTTGTCTTGGCCATGTCGAGCGGCACGAGGCCA